TCTTGATACGTACTTACCCTAAGGACTCTTATAAAATAATTCACGATGTTTGCAGTGGATGTGGTACTTTGATTTTTGTGAGTTAACCAATCCAATGCCTTCAAAAGCTTACAGTAGGTCTTTTGAGAAAGGGCAAGAGTCTTAGAGGATGCTGGGACGTGCTAGGCAGTTAGGAAATAGAAGGTCTCCATAGGAAAAGGGTACAACATCAAAATGTATCAAAGGATGACCATAGAGTAGCAAGGACAGGATGACAAGAAAAGGACGTCAAGTCACTTGGGCTTCTTGGTGGGCATTGATCTCAAGATATCTCCCGCGCTTCTCCTGCAGGAGTGCTGGATTCGCAGGCTGCGGCGAGATGTCCTTGAAGGAAGGCTCGGTACCGACTCATCAGATCCAAACGCCTGTGCTTTCGCTTCCCTCATCAGCCAATGCGATGTGATGGAGATGTCTCGCGCGGAGCGGATTGGCAACTGTGCCAAGTGTACTTACTTTGGCGCACAGTCTCAGGCACGAGTCCGCAGACGCAGGGTACAGGTTAACCGGTTCCGCTCTAAAATGCCAAAATAAATAAGGAATTGTTAAATCCGAAGGACATAAAATAATTGGGCAGTGATATTCTTTAGATTTAGATCTCATTAGAAGGCGGAGTCCTGTATATATGCAGTGAAATGGTTTTTCTGCACCTTGGCGCTGGGTTGGCGTTAGTGTCGCGCTTGATACTTTTACATAGCCATTGGCGAGAATTTCAGGCCCGATGCTTTCTCTACGTCTTGCTCTCTTGCAACCGTTGTTCCCGGTCCTGCTTGGGCAACTCCGCAGTAGCCGTAGCCTTACTTCGCGTAAACCTTTTTGAATCTGAATTGCCGCTTCTTTTTGGCTAGCAACGCAAACGTGACTTGTGCAGATATATGAAAACAGCTGCTTTTCAAGTTTTCACGGCTAGGTTAAACGTAGCTCTGGCGGTAGATCCGCGCTAGATAAATCCCCCAAGAGTACGCAGTTGCCCATTGGTCAGCTTGCTGTACTTGAAAGCCCAAGAGCGCTGTTTGCTTCAAATACAGTAACGCGACAGTCAGCCGGTAGCAGCAACTGGGACATGGGCCGTGGAGTCTGCAGTGTTAAACCAAATAAAGGAACCATGTATGATTCATTAATATTCAATATGATAGCTATTCCAATAGCTCCAACAGCTCCAGCTGCTCCAACAGCTCCAGCTAAAAGAGCCGCGCGCTGGCAATGTTTGCAAGATTTTGATCGAAATTGATGATTTACAATTTTCTTCCCTCATGTTTGACGTTTGTTGGAACCATTGAACTTTCGAGGCGGATTCCTGTAAATACGCGCTGAATGTGATTTGCACCTGAATCCGGGAGAAAGTATTTTAGAGAAGATGCCATATAGAACAGTCAGAGTAACTTCTGGGTTACAAGTACAGACTGACACATGTAAATGGGCAACTTCAGCTCTACTCAGCAACTCACCTGAGAGAAAGAGTAGCTCAGAGAAGAGGCACGGAGAAAAGAAGCCGCTTGGAGAAGAATTGACCTATAGAAGAGTTGCTGAAGAGGAAGAGTGTGGCTCAGAGAAGCGGCTCGGAGAATAGATAGCTCAGAGACGAGGAGGATCATTCAGTCGGTCTTTGAGTCGTTAGTCACTCATGCATTCTTTCAGCCAGTTTATCCATTCGGTCATTCATCCGGTCAATTCTTCATGAGTCCAATAAACCAAACACTGATGTCAGTCAGCATTGTCTCCTATAGCTGCGTATTTCTTTCGAAACTAATTCCGCCCCGGCATGGCCAGGCACTACCGTAAATAGACCAGGTTCACCCAATGTCAAAAACCGAGGGTGAACCCATGTTCGGAGTGAAAGTATTGCACATTTCTTGGATTAACTTTGAATCTTTGTGTGTGTGTGCAACAATTATTTGATTGAACATACATACAGCATGCAGAGCACTTGGCACAAGCTTTCACCCAGGGAACAGCGGAATTTTCATCGGCTCCATGGTTTGGAACGGTTTAACTTCAACGTGTTTCTCGGAATTGCGCCAGGCTGCAAGCCTTGAACAATTATCATGAACAGTTTCACACCGTGTCCGATTCGTTGTTTCTTGGGAAGTGCTGATTTGAGACAGAGGATCTCAAGAGTTGACAATTTGAACCGTTGTTTTGAGGCAATATTCTAATGCGAACTTTGCTTGGTGGAACCCCTTCTGAATCCAGTTCCAGTGGTACCACTTGTTTTGAACCGCTTTTCCTTTCTTTTTGCTGCCGCCTTCTCCCACCCTGAACGAAACATAGAGGTGGTAAGCTCGTTGTATTATTGAGCTGAAGGTTGTGCAGTTAGAAGCGAAAAACAAAGACATAAGAAACGATCCTGATGTTTGATTGTGCAGGCATTCCTGGGAAGGCGTAAGATTCCTATTCCAAGAGTGTATCCACCAGCGAGCCAAGTTTCCATCGCTTGCAACCAATGGTCCAGATTGATGAGTGTGGCTTGGCGTCCTTGAGGGAGAAGACTAACGGAGGCGGAGCAATGTGGTCGTCTTTTGGGTCGTAAAAAGTCACTGTAAAGGTTGTACGTCGGGTCACGCCACGAGGTGGACTGCATAGCACGACACACAAGCCACGAAAAGATACTTAATTTTAGAGCTGACGCTCATCGTCGGCTCCGCCGGATTACTTGACCTCGATGTCATCGCAGGGTGGGCTTGAAAGCTATTGAATGAGGACCTGCTGCTTCAGAAATATATTCCTTATGCTTTTTTGAACAAATTCATGGAATCATGGAACTGCGGTTTTTTTCTTGGAGCAAGTGGGGAAGGCGTGTTCCCGAAAGCTCCTGCGATGGTTTTTCCCAGAGAATTGCTGCCAATTTCAACTTTCCACTTCGTGTAAAAGCGCCTCTGTGTAAAGAGTTCTCTCTGTGTAAAAGCTTCTGGGTGTAAAAGCTTCTGCGTGTAAAAGCTTCTCTGTCTAAAGACTTCTCTGTGTGAAAACTTTTGTGTGTAAAAGTTTCTGCGTGTGAAAGCTTCTCTATGTAGAGATTTCTCTGTGCAAAAACTTCTGTGTGTAAACTCGCTTGTGTGTAAAAGCTTCTCTGTGTACAGGCTTCTCTGTGTAAAAACTTCTGTGTGTGAAAGCTTCCGTGTGTAAAAGCTCTCGGGTGTGTGAAAGCTTCTCTGTGTGAAAGCGCGTCTGTGTAAAGATTTCACTGTGTGTAAAAGCTTCCGTGTGTAAAACTCTCTGTGTAAAGGCTTCTCTGTGTAAAAGTTTCTGTGTGTAAATGCGTCTGTGTGTGAAAGCTATATATCTGTGTAAAGACTTCTTTGTGTAACAGCTTCTGTGTGTAAAGGCTCCTAGACGTTTGTGTGCAAAAGCTCCTTAGGGTAAAGACTTCTCTGTGTAAAACCTTCTGTGTGTAAAAAGCTCCTTTGTGTAAGACTTCTCTGTGTAAAAGCCCCTGTGTGTGTAAAAGCTTGCTGTGTGTAAATGCTTTTGTGTGTAAAAGCTCCTCTGTGTAAAGGCTTCTCTGTGTAAAAGCTTCTGTGTGTAAACCGGCTGTGTGTTAAAGCTCTCTGTGTAAAGACTTCTCTGTGTAACAGCTTCTGTGTGTAAAAGCTCCAAGCCGTTTGCGTGCAAAAGCTCCTTAGAGTAAAGACTTCTCTGTGTAAAACCTTCTGTGTGTAAAAGCTCCTCTGCGTAAAGGCTTGTCTGTGTAAAAGCCCCTGTGTGTGTAAAAGCTTGCTGTGTGTAAATGCTTTTGTGTGTAAAATCTCCTCTGTGTAAAGGCTTCTCTGTGTAAAAGCTTCTGTGTGTAAACGCGTCTGTGTGTAAAAAACACTCTGTGTAAAGACTACTTCGTGTAAAAGCTTCTGTGTGTAAAAGCTCCGAGACGTTTGTGTGCAAAAGCTCCTTAGAGTAAAGACTTCACTGTGTAAAACCGTCTGTGTGTAAAAAGCTCCTTTGTGTAAAGACTTCTTTGCGTAAAAGCCCCTGTGTGTGCAAAAGCTTCTGTGTGTCTCCTCCATCCAGTTTTCTTTCGGGTCACGCTGTGGTCCAGTTTCAATCTGCAACATTGTTTCTTGTGGAAGAATGCCAAGAACATGTGAGAGCATCGCGCGTTTAAAAATTGAACATAAACAGCGCACAAAGTGCTGTAATTTACAGCAATTTGCGCTGTCAGATGGCAAGAACCCGCGTAAATACCACAGTTTTAGTTCCCGAAAGTGGCTAAAGCACTGTTATTTACAGGGTTTCGTTCACGTCACAATCTTCGATTTTTTGAAAAACGCGTAAATACCAGCGTTTTTTGCGTTCATCAACGCAAAAAATCGGTTCAAAAAGGGAAGAAAAATGCTGTAATTTACAGGGGTTTGGCGCCGCCACGGGCAAAAAAATGCGTAAATACCAGCTTTTCGGCGTCCAAAAGTGGCCAAAACACCGCTATTTACACTGTTTCGTGCTTTCCACGTTTTCTTGAAATTGCAAAAACCGTGTAAATACCAGCATTTTTTGCGATCAACCCGCAAAAAATGTTGTAATTTACAGTGTTTCTTTGCTTTGCTTTCAAAAACACTGGTATTTGCAGTGTTTTGTGCATCTCGGGTCCCAACAGTATTGGTATTTACAGCATTTTCCGCGTTTTTGCATGGCTCCCGCAAAAGACGTTAAAACTTACAGCATTTTTGCGACTTTCAAAAAGCGAAAAATCGTCCGAAAAATGTGTCAAAACGGCGCTTTTTTTCGATTTTAGGTACCCTCCAAACGGGGGGGGGGGCGGGATTTTGCTCTTGGAGACGCTTATGAGCGACCCGGATTCCGTCCAAAAAGCTTTCCCCCACCCTCCTGAAGGATTTTTGGTGTTTTTCGGGGCCCGGCGGCATTTGTCAGCGTACTCGTGGGGAGCCGGCGGAGCCGAATTTAAGCGCTTACGCGCGACAGCCGGCCAGGGGCCCAACTATGTTGGCCCATCTTGTGGCCATGTTGGCCTATGTTGGCTTATCTTGCGGGCTATGTTGGCCCAGCTTGGGGCTATGTTGGACTATCTTGAAGGCTATGTGGGCCGATCGTGAGGTCTATGTCGGCCGATCTTGAAGCCTATGGTGGCCCATGTTGACCCATGTTGAGCCAAAAGATCCGAAAAATGGGAACAGCAAAAAAACACTGTAAAACGATGTAAAACGCTGGATATTTTGATGGTTGGCGGCCTATCTTGCGGCTATGTTGGCCTATCTTGGGGCAATGTTGGCCTATCTTGAGGGCAATATGGGCGCATCTTGGGGCTATGTTGGCCCATCTTGGGGCTATGTTGGCCCATCTTGGGGCTATGTTGGCCCATCTTGGGGCTATGTTGGCCCATCTTGAGGCCTTGAGGCCTATCTTGGCCCAGGTTGACCCCCCAACTATGTTGGCCCATCTTGTGGCGATGTTGGCCTATGTTGGCTTATCTTGCGGGCTATGTTGGCCCAGCTTGGGGCTATGTTGGACTATCTTGAAGGCTATGTGGGCCGATCGTGAGGTCTATGTCGGCCGATCTTGAAGCCTATGGTGGACCATGTTGACCCATGTTGAGCCAAAAGATCCGAAAAATGGGAACAGCAAAAAAACACTGTAAAACGATGTAAAACGCTGGATATTTTGATGGTTGGCGGCCTATCTTGCGGCTATGTTGGCCTATCTTGGGGCAATGTTGGCCTATCTTGAGGGCAATATGGGCGCATCTTGGGGCTATGTTGGCCCATCTTGGGGCTATGTTGGCCCATCTTGGGGCTATGTTGGCCCATCTTGGGGGATATGTTGGCCCATCTTGGGGCTATGTTGGCCCATCTTGGGGGCTATGTTGGCCCATCTCGAGGCTATGTTGGCCCATCTTGAGGCCTATGTTGGCCCATGTTGACCCATCTTGAGCCACATGTGCGATGTTTGTGCAAAAGATGTTGAATGCCACAGGGCCAAAAAACACTGTAAATTACAGGGGTTTCTGTCGACACGCGCACCCTACCAGAGGTCGGCGGCTGGGGCGGCGGCCCCTCTCTCCTACGGAGAGGAGAGAAACGCCTACGGCAAGGACACGGCCAGGGGGCCCCTGGCCGGATTTAAGCGCTTACGCGCGACAGCCGGCCAGGGGCCCAACTATGTGGGCACATTTTGTGGCTATGTTAGCCTATGTTGGCCTATGTTGGTCTATCTTGGCAATGTGGGCCCATCTTGTGGCTATGTTGGCCTATGCTGGCCTCATGTTGATTCATGTTGAGCCAAAAGATCCGAAAAATGGGAACAGCAAAAAAAACACTGTAAAACGCAGGATATTTTGATGGTCGGCGGCCTATCTTGGGGCTATGTTGGCCTATCTTGAGGGCAAGGTGGGCCATCTTGGGGCTATGTTGGCCCATCTTGGGGGCTATGTTGGCCCACATTGGGGCTATGTTGGCCCAGCTTGGGGCTATATTGGCCCATCTTGGGGGCTATGTTGGCCCATCTTGCGGCTATGTTGACCCATCTTGGGGCCTATGTTGGCCCATGTTGACCCATCTTGAGCCACAAGCTCCGAAAAAGGAGAAAAAATGCGAAGAGCACAAAACACCGTAAAACGCGGGAGTTTTTGGCGGGGGGGGAGAGGTCGGCAGAGGTCGGCGGCAGGGGGCGCGGCCCCTCTCTCCTACGGAGAGGAGAGAAACGCCTTCGGCTATGCCACGGCCAGGGGCCCCTGGCCGGATTTAAGCGCTTACGCGCGACAGCCGGCCAGGGGCCCATGTTGAGGTGATATGGGTAGCTGGGAGCAGGATCTTAAGGCTATGTTGCCCCATCTTGGGGCTATGTTGGTCCATCTTGGGGCTATGTTGGCCCACCCTATGTTGGCCCGTCTTGGGGCCTAGGTTGACCGATCATAAGGCCTATGTTGACCCATGTTGAGCCAAAAGATCCGAAAAATGGGAACAGCAAAAAAACACTGTAAAACGCAGGATATGTTGATGGTCGGCGGCCCATCTTGGGGCTATGTTGGCCCATCTTGGGGGCTATGTTGCCCCATCTTGAGGCTATTTTGGCCCATCTTGGAGCTATGTTGGCCCATCTTGGGGGTATGCTAGCCCATCTTGGGGGCTATGTTGGCCGATCTTGAGGCTATGTTGGCCCATCTTGAGGCTATGTTGGCCCATCTTGACCCATCTTGAGCCACATGTGCGATGTTAGTGCACAAACATGTTGAATGTCACAGGGCCAAAAAACACTGTAAATTACAGGGGTTTCTGTCGACACGCGCACCCTACCGGAGGTCGGCGGCAGGGGCCCAACTATGTTGACCCATCTGTTGGCCTATGTTGACCTATCTTGCGAGCAATGTGGGCCCAGCTTGGAGCTATGTTGACCCAGCTTGGGGCTATGTTGGCCTATCTTGAAGGCTATGTGGGCCGATCTTGACGCCTATGTCGGCCGATCTTGAGGCCTATGTTGGCCCATGTTGACCCGCGTGGAGCCAAAAGATCCGAAAAA